TGGAAGCATGGAATGAGCTTACCTATAAAATAGTGAGTTCCCCGTCATTATCAGCAGAACGACTGGGAATGATTGGTCACTATGACACACACTAACCACCAGGGGGCAGACGCTCAATGCAGGAGCTGCCCCCTGGTGGTCAGTGCACTCCCACAGGGGGAGATCTGCTCAGCCACAAGCCAGGCTGACGGCTGCCAGCACAGTGGTGGTGGCGGGAGCCTCTCCCGCCTCCTCAGCAGCGCTAAGGATGTCTGACTGCAGCTTAGGCCTGCTCCCCGCTGGCAAGTGGACATCCCTCGAGGGCTCCCGGGTTGCCAGAGGGATGTCTGACTACTAGCTTAAGCCCGATCCCCCAGGGAGCGGGCCTAAGCCAGCAGGTGGACATCCCCCAAGGGGTCCCAGACTGCGAGAGGGTACAAGCCGGGCTGAGGGACCCCGCCCCCCCCGAGTGCACAAATTATTGTGCACCAGGCCTCTAGTTAGAAAATAACGTTGTGTCCTTCAAGGCCTACTTTCATGTTGGCTCACTTAGGAAATGGTCTTCATTGGGTGCTTCACTCTCTAGTATAAAGTTTGCAAAGTATTTGTCTTGTGCTCCTGACTTGATTAATGGTTTCTAGAAGCCCAGCCAAAGGCTTTCCCATTTTTGTCCTTTGGACCTGCCCAGCACAATGCCTTGCACAATGCTTTGCACAGGTTTGAAGCTTAATAAATAAAGATTTTGATAGAAGGTAGAGAAGGTTGATTGTGAGAAAACTACCAATGTCATTCTACTATATTTTCAACTTTTTAAAAAAATATATATTTTATTGATTTTTTACATAGAGGAAGGGAGAGGGAAAGAGAGTTAGAAACATCGATGAGAGAGAAACATCGACAAGCTGCCTCCTGCACACCCTCTACTGGGGATGTGCCCGCAACCAAGGTACATGCCCTTGACCGGAATCGAACCTGGGACCCTTGAGTCCGCAGGCCGACGCTCTATCCACTGAGCCAAACCCGTTAGGGCAAACTCAACTTTTAGTTCTTCATAGACACAAATGGACATATTTCTACAAAAGATACGTAATATTATTTGTTTTTATAGTTACTTCCCTGGGAGATATGCTCATCCTAAGTTTCTGGGGGGGAAATGTTTAACTCAATTAAAAGAGGAAGCTTGGGCACTTATGAAAGAGCTATTTGGGGAATGAGGATCCTCACTGCCCCACAGACATCCGAAAGTGTATGTAGGTGACTGTCTGGCAGGCCCAGGACTCCATAAAATCCAAGAGACGTCAAGATTGACTCAACAAGCTGTCACCGAAATGTTCACTGTGATTCTTCTTGCTTTATACTCCGTATTTTTACATATTTATGATAAAAAATTATTATTTAAAAGATTAGAATAAAGAAATTCTTAGCAAAACTGCCATCAAGCTCTAATTATCGAAGAATTCTGTAAATGCTTTAAACACAGACTTCAGATCTCATTGAAAAGCATCTAAAGGAATGTTCAAATCCTTAGTTTCAGAATTTTGTTGATCAAAATTTGTTGCTTCAAATATGTAATCTACTGGCTCGAACTAAATCTTATTCTGAAATGTTCATTCAAAATTTAATTATTGGCAAAAGGTATTTAAGAACTTAGAACCTTGTAGAGATTAGAGTTTTGATTGTAGCCAAACCTGAATTATTTTTATAGCTTCACTTTTAATTCCTCCCATTGTCTTTTTTTAAATTAAAGTATAATTGACATACAACATTATATTAGTTTTAGGTTCCAATTGTCCTTTGAAAGCGTTTTGTAGTGAGAAGATTTGAACCTGTCAGTGAATCAGTTGAATGAATGAGGCTGCTTTGTGGGTAAAAATTCAATAGGTTTTCTTATAAAATGTTTTTCCTTGCAATTCCTTTAAGCTGGCAAATACATTTCTAGTACAGGATAGAGGCATCTCTGCTCCAGAGAGGAAATGTGCTAAAGAAACACACATTAGGAAATGCAGATTTAGAAAATAGCTTGGAGACCTATGTAGAAACTTCCTTACACAGACAGTCTTACCTTTTGCTTTTCTTATAAGGTTAACATTTCGGGCCATGGGATGTTACAATGGATGCCAGCGTGGCTCACAACAGCAGGATCCCTCACACCCAGAATCAGGCTCTTCCTTGAAAGTCTTGTACACTATGCATGCTTCCCTAATAGCACTTCATTGACTGATATTGACATTATTCGTGTAATTGCCTGTGTCCCCTTCCCCTCCCCTGCCCTGGACTATGGGTCCCTTTGCAGTAGCAACTGTCCCTGGTACCTAGCTTTCTGTTGTCTGAAATAAATTGAAAGATAAAAATTATATTTGAGCAGTAAGAAAATTACAGCATAGAGGATGCATCCCAAGTTGTGGCTCTGTGGATCTCAATGGCTTCATGCTAACAACTATATGTACTAAGTTTTGCTGTTTGCCAGGCCTGTTTTGACCATTTCCTGTGTGTTAATGTGAGCAGTACTCACAAATGACCCATGAGGTATGACTATTGTTTTGTTTTAATCCTCAGCCAAGGGGTGAGGATATTTTTTCCAATGATTTTAAAGAGAGTAGAAAAGAAGAATGGAAAGAGAGAGAGAGAGAGAGAAATATTGATGCACGTGCCCCCACTGGAGATGGGGACAGACCTGCAACCCAGGTAGGTGCCCTTGACCAGGAATCAAACTCGAAATCATCCTGTGTACAGGCTGAGGTTCCAACCACTGAGCCCACACCAGCCAGGAAACGAGGTATGACTATTATTAATCCTATTTTAGTGGTGAGAAAACTGAGGTTCAGATTAATTATCTAACTTGTACAGCTAGTAAGAGTTATCACCTGCTCCAGAGGCTACATCTTAATCACCAGGCCGGACTGCCTCCACCATGTCACTAAGGCAATAAGAGCAAGGGGCAGAAGAGTGTGCCTACAATGCTCTATTTCCATGGAGTTAGGAGAGAGGACATATTTAAATGCCTCTCGATTAATAATTTTCCACCTTTTTATCTCATGACACACATAAACTAATTACTAAAATTCTGTGGCACACCAAAAAGTATATTTGCTGATCTGACAAAAAATGGGTATAGCCCTAGCTGGTTTGGCTCAGTGGATAGAGTGTCGGCCTGCGGACTGAAAGGTCCCAGGTTTGATTCCAGTCAAGGGCACATGTTCGGGGTGCAGGCTCGATTTCCAGTAGGGGGCATCCAGGAAGCAGCCAATCAATGATTCTCTCTCATCTTGATGTTTCTATCTCTCTCTCCCTTCCTCTCTGAAATCAATCAAAATATATATTTTTTTAAAAATGGGTATAATTTTAATTGACTTACAAAATAAAAATAATTATTATTATTATTTGCTCCAAGTGACTTTTGAAAAAATCAGGTGCCTATACTTGTATATAAGGATTTCTGGTACCAAGAATTAACCAATCAGCCTAGCCACTGTGGCTCAGTGGTTGAGCGTCAACCTATGAACCAGGAGGTCATGGGTTAATTCCTGGTCAGGGCACATGCCCAGTCTGTGGGCTCAATCGGGAGCATGCAAGAGGCAGCTGATTAATGATTCTCTCTCATCATTGATGTTTCTATCTCTCCCTTTTCCTTCCTCTCTGAAATCAATAAAAATAAAAAGAATTAGCCAATCAGAAGCAACCTTATTATGCAACATGACCAATAATATGCAACTCTATTATATGACCTATATTTATTATATGACCTATATACTAATGGTTTAAGACAGGGCATTCACACCAGATGCCTATTGTGTTGGCTGTTGTCATTTTTTTACTTGACAATCTAAAAGAAAAGAGGTCAGTGCCCCTGACTAAATAGTCAGGTATTGCATGTTTTAAAAATTCTGGTGGCACACTGAATGAAAATAGCCGCTCTAGATACATAGGATATCTCTTACGAGAAAACACAGGAAAATGGTTAGCATAGGTGTCCTCTGGGTAAAGGACCAGGGACACTGAGGATTAAGGGTAAGAAAAAAAGCTTTATTTTCACTGTCTTCTTTTGAAAAGTATTTGGATTTTTTTTCTTCTACCATGGACATATGTTACCTTTTCTAAAACGACTTTTATTTTTAACGCATAGATCAATTTGAATCTCTTTGGGACTTTCCCATCTCTTCAGATATTTGTCAGTTAGAAACAGTATTAGATGGGGCTTGCATCTTGCATAAAACATCTGAAATCCTTGTACTCAACTTCATTTCACTCATGACAATGGCCGCTAGTATAAAAGCCCAATGGTTTTCCACACTGCAAAAGGTGGTACCACACTTACAAGAGAGACTGAGAGAGAAAACAAATGAAAGAGCGGAAATTGGCCAAAGCCTACTCTTACTGTTATTTTTGATTTGGACTTTTAAAATATTTCCTGTTTACAAAGTAATTTTGTATGTTTGTCTGCTACTACCATGACAGAGTACCACCAAATGTGTGGCTTAAACAGAAGAAATGTATTGTCTCACAGTTCTGGAGGCTAGAAGCCCGAAATCAAGGTGTCCTTGGGGTTGGTTCCTGCTGAGGGCTGTGAGGGAAGGCTGTTCCAACCCTCCCTCCTAGACTTGTAGATGGTCATCTGCACATTCACATGGCACTCTCACTATTTGCAAGTCTGTCTCCAAATGTCCCCTTTGTATGAGCGGACACCGGTCATACTGATTAGGGCCCATGCCAATGATCTCACAACTTGCTAAATACCTTATTTCCAAATAAGGTCACATTCTCCGGTTTTGGGGTTAGGTCTTGAACATGTGAATTTTCAGAATACAATTGAACCCCTAACCCTTTGCTAGGAGCCAACCCTCTTTGCTCCCTCCTTTAGCCACACCCAGGAATTTCCTTGTCCTGGTGTTTCGGCTGAGAGCTTAGTCTCCGGGCTCCCTATGCGGGGAATGTTGCTGAGGTAACCCTCGAGAGGAAAAGCCAGTGAGAGGAGAGTCACCGTGCGGTTTGCCCTGAGTGAAAGCACTTTCTCTCCTTCCTAGGTGGTACCACGGCAATCTCACACGCCACGCAGCGGAGGCTCTTCTCCTCTCAAATGGATGCGACGGTAGCTACCTCCTGAGGGACAGCAACGAGAGGACCGGGCTGTACTCTCTCTCCGTGAGGTATGATGCTTAATAACTCTATGAATCCAGCAGGGTCCCATCTCTTACTGACATGGCCATTGACTTGATCATCACACTCAAATAGCCAGATAGCAAAATCCTCTTGGTTCTTGGTAGACCAGCCCATCCAAGGATTCCCAACTCTGAGTGGTGAGACTGTTAAAACGCATTGTGGCTCCTTCCACTGGCAGGTGAAAAATGGTAGAGCCGAAGGAGACTTTCCTCGAACCACTGGTGGTGCGTGAGGTCCGGAAGGTTGACAACCGAAACCGTTTGCTTGACTGATAAAGAAACAGAAACCTGAAGTGGTAAACTATCCTATACCCAATAAACCAACGATACAAACAGCACCGGAATCCAGATCCCTGAATGCTGGCCTAGTGTCCTTTTAATATTTTTTACTTCCTGGAAAATCAGAGGGATTTGCCACTTTTGTAATCACTGACCTTCTTTCTCAGGTCCCATTTCCCCTGGATGTTAACAAAATTAACCTAGTCCCTGCCAGGTACACTAACCACAGTGACTGCCCAGTCCTCCCAGGGTCTCTCTCCTCGCCCTTTCTCCTGGATGGCCTCCCTATCAGAGAAGTTGACCTTGCCAAGAGATAAGCCGGGGGAGTCGCTGGTTCTTCGGCAGCATCTGTCACCTAGCCTTCTGGTGGCAGGTAGCAAGTCTTTGTGGGCTCACGGGCACTTGCCCCTGGCTTAGACCAGGCCTGTGAGGACTCCATGAAACTGCCTTGTCCGCCTACTCAATAATCTCACACTGTTACTATTTTATTACTGTTCTTTTGATGCCACCATCTACCTTCATGTCGCAGTCCCTCATGTTGATCACTGATCCCTCACAATAAGGTTTTCTCTTTTCTTTCCTGCTCCACGTGGTGCAGGCCTCCTTGTTACTAACTCAGTAGCAACATCTATACTCCTTTCTCTCTGAATCCTCTTTTCTACCCAGCTCAGCAACTTTTGCTCTAAAGAAACAAAAACTCATCAGCAGAGGTGACAGGAACTATAGGCCAGCTCAGGAAAATAAAGAAATATTTAAGAACATCTGTGCCTACCATCTTTGACAAGTATTATAGAAGATTCAAAGAACTTGCTCTTAGGAACTGTAGCTTCATATTAATAATAAGACATTTCCAAATCCCTCACTGCAAAGTAGAGTGTGGTAAATGACATGAAAGAAAGCAAAATAAGTGCTTGGATTGTTGAGAAGAGAAAAAGCAAGTAACACAAGCTGGACAGGTCTTGCAATACTTGATGGAGTTGGTGGCATTTGAATGGACACTTGATCAGAAACAAAGGAGAAGAAGTTGCAGGTGGAGGGAACTGTCTGAGCTAAACTCCTAGGAGAATTACATGTCTCAGGGTGTGGTCCCCAGACCAGTAGTATCACCTAAGAATGTGGTAGGACTGCAAATTCTCAGACCCCACCCTGGATCTACTGAATCAAGGTCCAGAAATCAGGGTTTTAACCAGGCCTCCAGATCATTCTAACTTCTTTCTTTTTTTTTTAATTGACTTCAGAGAGAAAGGAAGAGGGAAGGAGAGATAGAAACATCAACGATGAGACACAATCTTCGATTGGCTGCCTCCTGCATGCCTTCCATTGGGGATCATGCCTGCAACCCAGGCATGTGCCCAAACCGGAAATTGAATCGTGACCTCCTGGTTCATAGGTCAATGCTCAACCACTGTGTTACACCAGCTGGGCTGATTCTGATTTCTGAAACATGTGAAAGTTAGGGCATGCCCTGCACAGAGAAGAGAAGAATAGTGGGATTCAAATATATATACTATATGTAATTTATAATTTATTTAATGCTCTGCCACATTCCAAAAATGAGATGAAAAATGACAATGTAGGGAATTTTATATTTTAGTCAGTAGGCAGTGGAACAGGCATGGAAGGAGAAGGGCTGGCCTTACATAACTAATTAAGTGACTGAAGCAGAATTCAGACCAACTCCCAAACAAGTAAGGGAGGAGGGCTGAGGACAGAGAAGATGCGACCTGCCATTTCCATCATCTCTCTTCCCTGCTCTTATTAAATCCCTGCTCCTTAAGGAGGTTAATGTTCAAGGACTCTTTCCACAAGTTACAGAATGCATAGGGAGAATTGTCTCTTATCTTCCACCAGAGTGAAAAATTCACAAGAGTACACTCTGCCAAAAGAAACTATGTCAATGATTATGTCATAATTCTCAGTTTTTAAGGGGATTGAATGTTGATATGAAATACCTAAGGTTACTATTTTTTCTTCAAAACTGATACTCATCCTATGTAATAAAAGGATAAGATGCAAATTGACCCTAACAGGGGAATGACCGGTCGCTATGATGGGAACTGACCACCAAGGGGCAGACACTTAAAGCAGGAGCTGCCCCCTAGCAGTCAGTGCACTCCCACAGGGGGAGCTCCGCTCAGCCACAAGCCAGGCTGATGGCTGTGAGCACAGTGACGGTGGCAGGAGCCTCTCCTGCCTCCTTGGCAGCACTAAGGATATCTGACTGATGGCTAAGCCATCAGTCGGACCTCCCCGAGGGCTCCCAGGCTGCCAGAGGGATGTCTGGCTGCCAGCTTAGGCCCAATCCCCCTGGGTGTGGGCCTAAGCTGGCAGGTGGGCATCCCCTGAGGGCTCCCAGACTGTGAGAGGCACAGGTCGGGCTGAGGGACTCCCCACCCCAGTGCACGAATTTTCATGCACCAGGCCTCTAGTTTGTTATGATAACGTAAACATTTATTTTTCCTTTTCAGAGCCAAAGACTCTGTCAAACACTTTCATGTTGAATATACCGGATTTTCATTTAAATTTGGCTTTAATGAATTCTCATCTTTGAAGGATTTTGTCAAGCATTTTGCAAATCAGCCTTTGATTGGGAGCGAGACAGGTAAGCTCTGAACACATAGATCCTTGACCTATGAGCCATTGTTTTGGGCAGAGGAGGAACAGGTGGATTTCAATTAAATACTTGTCAATTCTATTGAATTATGTGGGTATAACAGGCAATTGGATTTATTTAGAAAGTTTTCCCCAATTACTGTGCCATATGCTACATTAATAAATTATATACATAAATTTATATTTATGTGTATCTCAGTATTATCTTTAGGAGAAAACAATGTGCTTTCTGAAAACAATAATTTTTGTTGGAATATTATTTAAAGGATTGATTAAAAGTACACAATTTCTTTAAAATGACCTAGTCACTTTATAATAGTATATACAATAAACAAAGAAAGAACAAAAATAAGAAGAACTTTTTGATGCCTCACAATTTTTAGGTAGGGTAGTTTGCATATTGGGGGGACCCATAACAGATAAGTTTGAGCCTTCTTAAAAACATAATTTGTATTTAAATTTCCAGAAAGATCACTGAATATTGAAAATATTGACTAAAAATTGCTGTCCTGAGAAATTCCTTCATTTCATCATAAAATTCTCTTTGTCTTGTCTTGGTTTCTCTTAAGTTTTTAAATTGGACTTACATATGGCTAAAACATTTTAAATTTGTCTATTTGAGTTGTTAGAGTCAAAGCAGAATATGAAAGTTAAAAAGCAAACAAACACACTATCTTAGTATTTGAATTATCAAAGTTTCTTTGTCCGTACTTTTTAAATAAATGATCATCCCTATATTTGTGATATAGAGTCACAATTTTACATGTCCAAAATGGTAATTCTCAGTTAATCAAAAGTTGGCAATTCCAAGAACCTATGGCACAGAGGAACTCACGACTTGATAACACAACTGGTTACCGTGAACTTGTACATACTGTTTTCTTGGTAAACATGGCCAGGGGGCTTTTTGTTAACTTCAGTGTGGTGGGAAGAGATGCCATCATTGTCTTTTCCTTTTCTGCTATTTCTGTGGTCTGGATAGACCCTGGTATGAATCATGCAATGTGAAGTAGAGATGAAAAGCACAGCAGAAACCACAAAATATTTGCCTTACTTTATACTGACCATACAAGGCCTATAATAGAATATCCCAAACTATAAAATTGAAGCTATAATTATTTTTAGGGTGGAAATTCCCCCTATCAGCTCTGAAAATTACTTCACCATTTAACCAGAAGTAGTTCTCATAACCAAATGGTAGGTAGGGATGTATTTATTTCCATTGCTACTTTGGCCTTGGCAAGCATTTCAATTTCTCAAATCCCTTCACTTGTGACTTATTTCCTACTTGTGTCCAACCCTACACTTAGTATTATTCAATTCTTGGTCACTGGCAATGGAGAGGAGATTTCTGAAGCCAAAAACTTTGTCAACTTCTATCTTTGTCCTTCTCCATGTCCCCCAGATCCTGATATAGTGCATGGCACTTTGGGTGAACAAATGGATGGATGACTATGAAGAGGAACTCTTTGTAGCCTTCAAAACCATTATAATTATTATCTTCCAGCTTTCTCTTCTTTCTCCAAAGTCAGCTCCTTTCTTCTAAACTCTCCTCCTAGAATCTATTTTCAACCCCTTTAATCATTCTCTGTACTCTTTCCTGGACTTTCTTGAAGTTAGGGAAAAGTTACCCATTCTGCCTACCAACAGATTTCAAAACAATTTAAGATGAAAGTGAATCAGAGCTTTTTGGTTGAACCTTTCTGGCACTGATCCAATCACCAGGCAAGAGGCTCACCTAAGATTGACAGTGAATTTGGGACAATGTTAAAAACCCCGTAAATACATTTATCTAGCTAAAGGAGGTTCATGATTAATGCATTAGGGATTGTAAGAATTTGTAATCCTGACTCCTACAGTAGTTTTCTCCAAAGCTAAAGCTTGCTATATTATTATCATTATTTTATAGTACTATAATTATTTTATTGACGGTAATAAAATTCAGGAAACTAAGTTTTAATACTCTCCACTGAATCTCCTCTGTTCTATTCATTATCCAATAGAGAATTTGTTGCTACTGAAATACCCAGGTCCAGTCCTTCCCATTCTGAGGCTATCTTGGGTATTTCAGAACCCCTGCTACAGGAACCTGGTGCTGATGAATATGCACATGACTTACTGGCTTCTAGCCCTTGAGTTAGATTCTGCTAACTTATGAAATATCCCTCTTATCTGTCCCAGCCAGATGAAAACAAAGCCACTGAAGCTGGGAACAAGGGGCAAAACCCATGACAAATAAGTGTTCCAATTTTGCCCCTCTGGGAGTAATAGGCTCCAGGAAACTAGATAATGTGCTGAAGTCATGATGACTCAAGGACAGAAGTTCTCAGAAGCTGCAGAGTAGGCTCTGTGACCTATGAAGAATGGTGAATGGAAACTTGGATGCCACCTTCTAAAAACAGGTGTCTTCTTGTTCATTTAAGAGTTGGCTTCTGGCCCTGGCTGGTGTGGCTCAGTTTGTTAGAGCATCACCCTGTACACCAAAAGGTGGTGGGTTCGATTCCGGGTCAGGGCACATGCAGGAGGGAACCAATCAATGTTTCTCTTTCTCTTTATGTCTACCTTCCTCTCTCAAAAAATCAATTAAAAAAGAAAGAAAGAAAGAATTGGCTTCTTCAGCATGGTAATGGATTTATGGCAGGCCCTTCTCTGTGGGCCTCTCATAGTGTTCCCATGCCAGAATAAACTGTGGCCTCGAACCATTGCCCAGCCTTCTTATCTGTGGGCTGTGAGCACTGAAGGAGGTTGTACAGTGTTTTGTTTTGTTTTGAAATTGGCTTCTGGTGTTGGCTCCCTATGATCAGAGATCAGGAGATCTCCAAACTGATGATTCCTTGTGTACCATTAGATGAAGGGCAAATTCTTCTTAAAGTTTTAGTTAGATAAAATATCACCTGGGGAAGCATTTGCCCGCCCAATGGATGAAGCCCTGCCAGGTTCTCACCTCCAGGTCCTCGGAATGGGAAGGACTAGACGGGTATTTCAGGCTTCTCCTCTCAGCCCAGGCCCCATTCAGACCAGACTCACCCTGCAAGGCCTGGAGAGTGAGTTTATTTAAGAGAGACTTTCTCACACTCATCCACTGGCAGGGATGGCACCACCTCTGAGGATAACAGAGAAGATGCAAATAGCCAACAAACTTACACCTTTGCCTTACATTTACATTTAATGTCTTCAGTTGAGTAAAACCCAGAACACTTGGTTCTGGATCATAAAAACATATTTGTGGCCAAGATAGGTAAACATATTAATCTAAAGGGATGAATACTATTTTAAGATATCTTTCTTTTCATTCTATTCCTATTCCCTACGCTTTAAACTCAAAGAATTTCTGGTTCCTTCTCTGGAGAATGAAGATTCCCTAAACAAGATCTAACTTTCCTGACAATTCTAAGATTCTCTTAGCATAATTTCCCCTTTCCCTCGCTATAATCTGCATTTAATCTCTCTAATCTCCAGTAATGTTTCGGTTCACTCTAATTTCTCCTTACTAATACCATAAGCACTCTTAAGCTATTTCCAGTTTTCAAAATCCAATCATTTCCCAAGTATATCATAGAGATAAGTAAGTACCCTCTTGCTTTACTTTTCTCAATGACCCTTTTATCTTCTCACATATTGTATATTTCACTTTATTTTTTTAAATATATTTTATTGATTTTTTACAGAGAGGAAGGGAGAGGGATAGAGAGCTAGAAACATTGATAAGCTGCCTCCTGCACACCTCCTACTGGGAATGTGCCCGAAACCAAGGTACATGCCCTTGACTGGAATTGAACCTGGGACCTTGCAGTCTGCAGGCCGATGCTCTATCCACTGAGCCAAACCAGTGAAGGCGTATATTTCACTTTAAAAAAAATCTTTGTACTAGTATGTAAACTTTATGAGAAGAGAGATTTTAGTCAGTTTTATTTCCCTGGTATGTCCCAACACATAAAAGAATCAATGATAACAATTATCCACAACATTTCATGTTGGGTATCGCATTACCAATGCCTGCATTGCAGATGCATGGCAACCCACATCCGGCGGACTCCTGACAGTTAGGGTTTACTTCCAAAGTTTATACAAATCATAATTTGAATGATGTTATGTGTTGTATGTATGCTCAGTAATGATTAAATTCAGAGTTTGCCTTTCATTTTTAATATTAACATGTTATATAAAACCGTCTCTTTATATTTGTACATGGCTTCTAAATTCAACTCCAGTAGGCTTGAAAATTTGACTTTTTTTTATACGCTTGGTCCATTATTAATTTTTACCATATCCTCTTATGATTGACTAAGTTTGCTATATAGTCTTGAAAATATAGATAATTCTCTTTATGTTAAATTCTAAATATTATTAGAACAAAATTACCTTTCCGTTACCTTTGTTTCTATTGCAATACTTATGTACATAAAATTGCCATATATGATTTATGACAGGAATTACTAGGTTGTGACTTTAATCACCTAACAGCATGAGAAATTATATTAGTCAAATGCTTTGTTTGTACTTACCCTTTATAGTAATTGGTTCTCAGTTTTAAAGATGCTATCTGGTTCTTTCTTAAATGTCAAATTTCCACTTCTCTTTTTGTTTTGAGGTGGGGATTCCCAACCTCTTGCTAACTGCTACGGTTGTTATTATATTTTGTGACACCAGCCGTTTTACTCAGGTAGCATTTTAAAATAATTAAGTTAAAACTATTTTTAATTTGAGAATTGTGTGACATTTCTGAAAATAATGAGTGACAACTTGGAATTTTGCTAAACCACGACCAGAAATCACTTCTTAGTTTATGTTTGCCAAAAATACATATTTTATTAGTTTGTAAAGAGGTGTTTTTGAAAAAGGAAAAAGCAAGCAAAAAAGAGAATGAAACCAATATTTGTGGAGTGTTTACTAAGTTCTAGGCATTCTATTAGAAATTGTGACAAATATAAAATTCTTTAATCTTCTGAACCACCCACAATAATGTGTAAAGTGGTACCATTTTCAAAT